CTCTCCTCTGTACCGGGAAGGGTTGGTCCAGATAATTTCCAACAGCCTTTCCACAGTGGTGTTGAGGGGGGGTCACACACAGGCCTGCGGGTTTGTGTTCACGTACCTGTTTCTGTGTGAGAGAAAGATAAACAGCTGATATATGGGGAGGGTGCAGGGAAGCTGCAGGAGTGGGAAGAGGGGTGAGCAGCTGGGAAACCCAAAGTCTGCATCCCAAAGATCTCCTGCTGGCTCTACTCTTACCCGTCATCCCCTGGGACTCCTGTGTCCTACAAGGGGAAGTCCAAAGGCTTCACCCACTCACTTTTCTCTCCAGGGTCTTCTCCTTCATGCCTCCAACTCATCCAACACTCTAATCACACAGGGCCATAGGTTAGTTCCTTTTCAGTTAGATCCCCCTCTAACTGGAATATTCTTCTTCCTTTATTCCTGAAAAACTCCTACACATCCTTCAAAGCCCAACCCCAAAGATCCCTCCTCTAAGAATTCTTCCCTACCCTCACCAGCCAGAGCTAACGGCCCTTTGTTCTGGGTTCTCACAGCACTCCAGGCACAGCTTCATCACAGCTTCAGGACCACCTAGGGTGTGCACAGTTGAGCATCCAGTAAAAGTGGGTGGTTGAAGGAAACCGAGACCCGCTCCTAGAAGCATCTGTAATCAACTGGGTACTAAGTTTATCTGCAGCTTCCGCCAGCCCCCTGAGCTTTCCCCTCCCTGACACTTCTCCTTCTTCATCTCGCAAAAAATAGCCCTGAGACCTAATTTCAGCCAAACCTTCAAACATGACTCTCCACTTTCAACTTCCCGAGGAGGAATCAATTGGCTGTCAAGTTTCCCAAAGCCTCTGCCACCTCCCACACCCCAGGCCCCGCCAGCTTTCCTCAAGGTCGATGGGAGGGGGCGGGGACAGAGGAAGGAGGGAAGTTGGGTCTGGGGAAGGTGGCAGGCTGAGGGGACTCATGGGGGGACCAGTACAGTCACCATCTCCTTACCCCCCAAAGCAAACCGTGAATTCCTCTAACATGGGTGGCAGGCGAGAGGGGCAGCATACTGCTGCTGCTGAGGGTCCCTGGGCTTTGGGAGGCGGGGTGGGCACATGCAGAGCCCCTGGACCCACTCCACAGTCTGTGCAGACCCAGGGCTCTCCCTCTGCCCCTCACCCCACCCCAGGATTCCCTACAGGTGCAGAGAAGACAGACCTGGTTTGAATCTTGGCCTCACCATCTCTTCGGAAGCAGAATGCTGAAGGGCAGAGATGGGCAGGTGGTCACCAGCTCCCAGCTCCCTTCCCCATCCTACCCTCATCCAGGGGCCCCCACAGCTCTCAGGGCATGCATCAGCCTGCTGGCACCGTGTGGCCCTGGGGACCCACTCCCCCACCCCCAAATCCCCCTGTAGGTAGACGGAAGTTGTACCAGGTGGGCAAAAGGTTGCATATCTGGCCCAAGTCCCAGGCTCAGCCCCAGCTCTACTGACTTCACAACTTATTCGTAGTTACTGCATCAAAACATTTAAGCGCCTACTGCATGCTCAAACCACATCCTGCCTTACCAAGTCCACTCCCTTCATTTTACAGAATGGTAAACTGAGGCTCTCTCAGGGACACATGGTCTCCAAGAGGCAGAGGTGGGACCAGCACCAAGCCCCTGATGCCCTGTGGGGTAAGGGCCACCCAAGTGGGTGCCAACAGCCCAGACTCAGAAGTGCTCACCACCAAGGTGGTGACCTTGGACAAGTCCAGCCCCTCCTGGGCCTCAGTTTTCACAGAGGAGGTGGAGAGAACGAGTCCTATAGACCCCGACACGCCGATTCTCCATGAGACTGCATCACTGCAAAGGGGCACGCCTGTGAGAGGTAGTGACATTCTGTCACAGAGTTTGAAATGGCAGTGAAGACGGCAGTTACTCAAGTATACCCCATGGTGTCTCGCCGCCTCCCCCAGGCAAACCCATGTTCCCCGGGTTCCCTCGGGGGGCTACACAGCGCAGCAGTCAGCCAAGCACTGGAGGGTGTGGCTTGCAGGAGCGCGTGTGAGCAAGTGTGAGTTCGGGCTGATGGGGGACAGGGTGTGCTTCTGGTCCTGCACAGGGCCTATGAGCAAGTCCGTCCTCAAGGCCCAGGCCAGGTGCCCCTGTGACCTTCCCCCAGACACCTTGCCCTCTGCCCTCCACCCCAACCCTCCCCAGATCTTAACTGCTCTGGAGCCAAAGAGGGAAACAGAATTCAGATGATAAAGGTGGATCTCACCTATTAAACATCTACAGAGTCAGACCTGGGCTGGGACGTCCACACGAAGGTCCACCACACTCCTTCAAGGAAAGGTGGTCATTCCACGCTTTACTGACCAGGGCACAAGGCTCAGAGAGGCTGAGTGACTAACAAGGTCACACAGGTCACAGAAGAGCCGGGATTTGAACCCAAATCCCCAGCTCCGAGCCCTCCAGTCCCCCCCAGCTCCGAGCAGCAGCCCAGGAGAGAAAGTCCACTCACACCCCATTCTTTAACTGCCACACAGGAAAGGACCAAGGTGCCCGGGGAAGGACACAAAACGTAAATGTCTGACAGTCCTGGCATCCATGCCTGGCTCTATCACTCAGGAGCTGTGTGACACCGGGCAAACGACTTCACCTCTCTGAGTCTCAGTTCCCTCATCTGTGAAATGGGGATACTCATGGTACCTCCCAGCAGGGTTGCTGTGAGAATTGAGTCAAATGATGACTGAACACACTTCCCATCCTGCAGACCCCAATCGGGTGGGCGGGACTGTGAGTCCTGGGTGCCTGGCGGCTCAGAAGGCTGGCTCTGGCTCTGATCCCAGGGAGTTTCCACACCAGGAAACAGTGAAGATGCCACCGCAGGAAAAACACCAAGCCTAGCTGGCAATTAAGGAGCTACAAATTACAGCAACTTCAAGGTGTGATGATACACCTATTAGAACAGGAAAAAAAAGGGAAATGGGTAAAGAGCAATGCTGACGGGGTTCTAGGAGGGTGTGGGGGTGACGGGTTCTCCTCACCGCCAAAGGAAGTGCAGGCTCGCACTCGGAAATCAGAGATATGGCTCCACCACTTATCAGCAGCTGGAGCTTGGGTGAGTGACTTCACCTCTCTGAGCCTCAGTTTCCTCATCTGTAAAACGGGGTGATCGAAGCATCAGCTTCAGGGTTATCTCCAGGATAAAAAGAGATCACGTGAGCACCGTGCCTGGCACATAGTGGGGCTCCATCAGTGGAGGCAGCTCAGCCCCGCTGCCATGGCCCCGGAGGTCCAGGGAGGGCAGCACTTGGCCCTTTCTCCCAGGGACCCAGGCCATACCCAGGGTAGTGACCCTGAATCCTCTCTCAGCACAGCCTTCCCTTTCCTCCTCGCTGCCTGGAGGCTGATCCAGAGCCTGGGGCTCAGACCCACCACTCGGGGGAGCTTGTTAAAAATGCAGATATCCAGGCCCTGCCCCTGGCCCACTGCACTGAAATCTTGAGGGGGCCCAAGAATCTACTTTGAAAGCATTTCTATGACATACAGACAGTTGGGAGAATCAGTGGCCCTGGGGCAAGTCCCATCCCCTTAGCCTGGGACTCAAGGCCCCACCTGATCCAGAGTCAGCCCAGTTTCCCAGCCTCACCTCCTACCCTTTCCTCCAGAGCCCTCACCTCCAGCCCCACCAAGCATTTCACCATTCCACAAATACATCAATTCCTAGCTTGCATCTATGGCTTTGCAACTGCTGTTCCCCCTACCTGGAACTGCCTCTCTCACTGTCTCTGCCCCTTCAATTTCTACTGACCCTTTAAGACCCAGCTCAAAAGTCAGCTCCCAGGGGACACCTCTCCCAACCCACCGGGAACAGTTAGTCACTCCTAGCTCACCTGGAACCCCTGTATCACACAGTACAGTGACGGCCAGGCCTGTGCCCTCTCTGTTCCCTCCACCCAAAACCCTCTTTCCCCTGCTCCCCACAGGGCTGGCTCCTCATCCCTTGGGCCTCAGCTCAAATATCACCTCCCGACCACACCACCTCAAGGAAGCCCTCCCGGTTTTCCCTATCACAGCAGCCTGCTTTTCTCCTTCACAGCACGTAGCTCCGACACGAGAACGTGAGCTCATAAGGTCAGGGGCTTTCTCTACCTGGTGTTCTGTTGGCCAGCTCCTCCCACTCAGCCCCAGTCCCAAGAATGGTGCCTGGCACACAGCGAGCAAGCCATAAAAACTGCTGAATGAATGAATGGATGAACTAACGATGAAACATCCATCACCCCTACAGACCGTGAGCGCTGGGGAGAAGAGAATGTGTCCACTTCTTCTCCATGTCTACTTCTCCGAGTCTCCGGTGGCTGGCAGAGCATGAACAGAGGGGCACATGGTAACGTGCAAAAAAGGACACAAAACTGTGCGTACGCGGCAAGGATGGGGGGACACAGAGGGGACAGAGAGTCAGACGTTAAGGGTCACTGAGTTCTGTTTCTGCAAAGTAGTTTAGGTTTGCAATAAAAAAGCGCACGCTGGTGGGACCCCTAAAATCAACAGCTAAGATATATATACTGTGTTTTGTCGATTCTAAGACGTCATCAATTATAAGATACAGCACTATTTTATGCGTCACCAAGAAAGAAAAAACACAGCAATTAAATTATGACACACCAAGGACTGTAACACGAGAGATATTAAAACGTGGAAACAAAAACTGTGCATCTTAAGAGTGGAGGAAGCGTGGGGTGTGTGCACCTAATGTTAGCCTCTCTCCTCCCAGGCCAGCTCGGCTCTGGGCCCCCCGGCTGCAGGGCTGTCTGTCCTCTGCCTGCCCACCCCCTCGTAGGATGGGACCCCCGTGTGGCCCCCAGGGGCGGGGCTGAGCCACAGAGAGGGGAGCAGCTGAGCGATCGGATACCTAAAACAAGGGAGGCTGGATGCTCTCCCGGTCCATGAGGCTCCAGGAAGGGGGGCCGTGGGGTCGCAGAGCAGCACCCCGGGCCAGGTGGCGATGGTGACGCAGAGATAGTTACCGTGACCCGGAACGGTGTAGCAGCCGAGGGCTCCATGCTGGGGCTCTTCTCCGACAGGCTGCCGGGCAGGCTGCGCCGGGAGCCCGGCCTTTCTTGGGGCGACTCTGTCAACAGAGAGAAAGAGAGAGTGAGCACGAGCAATCGTGACTGGTTGGTCAGACCCTCCTGTCATCCCCGTCCTGGCCAGGACGACAACTGGTCCCCATAAAATAGAACAGCCACCATAGAAAAGAGTTGGGTGGTTCTCCAAAGAGTTAAAGACAGAATTACTACATGACCCGCAATTCCACTCCTAGGAATATACTCCAGAGAACTGAAAACACAGACACAGACGAATACTTGTATGCAAATGTTCATAGCAGCGTTATTCACACCGGCCTAAAGGAAGAGGCAACCCAAGTGTCCATCAACAGATGACTAGAGAGACAGTGTGGGATATCCACACAGTGGAATGTTGTTCCATCAAAAAAAGCAATGAAAGTTCTGATACACGCTTCAGTGTGAACGAACCTTGAAAACATGCTGGGTGACATAAGCCAGACACAAAAGGACAAATATTGTATGAATGCAAATATATGAAATGCCTAGAATAGGCAAATTCCTAGCGAAAGAAAGATTAGAGATTGCCAGGGGCTGGGGGTGGGAGGAATGGGGAGTTATTGCTTAACGGTACAGAGTTTCTATTTGGAGTGCTGGAGAAGATTTAAAAATGAAAAGTGGTGATGGTTGCACAACATTGTAAATGTACTTAATGCCACTGAATTGTTCATTTAAAAAGGATTAAAATGGTAAATCTTATGTAATATATATATTTACCACAATTTTGTTTTTAAAAAGATCACCCAAAACCCGCACTTCAAACCATACATCTTGTGACATAATGAGCTCCCTGTTGCTGGAGGTATACAAGCAGTCCCTTCGAACATGAGAATCGGTGATCTCTGGCTTCCAATTCGGACTTCCTTTTCCAGAGGCTTTAAACTTGAGAGAAGTGCAAGGGCCTGGCAGGTTACAGAGCCAGCTACTCGACTCCAGCTGGTTTTTTCAGAGTAGCAATGGGGGACCCAGCGCAGCCATAGCTTCCCACAGTTCCAGAGAAGCTGGAAATCTGGGTGTTCTTAAATATGAAATATTCTGATTTTTAACTGGTGACAGTTCATTCAAAACTTTTAGCCACAGCCTGAGCATGCCTGTTTAAAACCTCCCAAGTCAGTCCAACCTGGCCGCTGTCCTCGCTGGTCCCCCCACACCATGCTTGGCACTGGCTGCCTCTTTTCCACGGCTCCGGCTGTGGCCCCCCATGAGGACTCCCTTTCTGATCCTTCTGGCCTGACCCACCCCGCAGGCGCTGCAGGAGACCCTTGGTAACCCTCCGCGCCCCCAGCTCTCGGCCGCCTTCTGGCTCCTATAGCAACAGCCAGGCCTGAGTCTCTCCATCAACACTCTCACTTTGCACACAGCGCGTGTGTGTGTGTGTGTGTGTGTGTGTGTGTGTCCCGTGCTTGACTGCGGAACTCCTAACGCCCACGCCTAAGCCAGCTGCATCTCCATGTCCCCAGTGCCCTGCATGAAGCCTGGTGCGTGGGGGGCGCTTGGGAAAAACCTGTTGACTCGCGAGGAAGGAAAAGGAGAGGGCGGAGATTTCCCTGGTACACGGGAACACCCACAGGTGCAGAGTCAGAGGCGCACGCCCAGCAAACACAGGCACATGTTCACATCTATGCAGACACTCCAACAGGGACGTGCTCAGACCCACCCCCAGGTACACGTCCAGGTGTGGACGCGTGGACGTGTGCACAGACCCAGGACAGATGCAGCCGGATTGGACAGGGGTCCTCAGAAGTGTGAGCCCCTCACCACACCAGGACAGGCTCCATGCTGAACCCTGGCCAATGACCAAGCAGGCAAAGCCACCCTGGGCCTGGGGGAGGTGGGCCGCCTGTGGGGACGGGTGGGGCAGAGGTTGACACCAGGTCTGGACGTGGACTAGCCAGCTCCGGGCCACCTCCTCCAGAGGCTTCCTCCCCACCGCTCCTCCTCAGCCGGGTGACTGCCATCTCTTAGGGCCTCGCTGATGTCCTCGTGGTGCTGTATTCACACCTTCCTCACGCCTCCTCCACGGTCTCTGCTGGTCACACTCCAGGGGACACCCACTCTTTCGGGAGGTTCCCCTAGGAAATCTCCTCCCCTGCTCCCCAGTCTGCCTTCACCTCTCCCCCCACCCCCGTCACCTCCACCTGGGGGTCCACCAGAACCACTGTGTCCTACCCATGTGTGAGGCACTGTGCTCAGCCTCCAGAAGCCTCACAGGATCTACCTTCCCTCCCCCGATACACACACACACGCGCGCGCACACACACACACACCTGGCCACAGCTTCACCACCCTTCCTGGGCGGGCGGGCCACCCTGGCTCTAGACAGGAGACACACAGAGTCACCTGGTAGGACACAGGGAGCCCAGGGAGGTGGCCTCTCCTCTGAGACCAAGACTGATGTTCCCCACGGCCTGCGAGAATACTGCCTCGTGACCCCTGGGTCTGAGCCAGGAGGCTCTCAGGGGTTGTTTGCTCCAATCACCCATTTCACAGATGAGGAAGCCAAGACCAGAAGAAGGGAACCTGTCCATTAGCCCCTAACTCAATAGGTATAAAGCAAAGACCCTCTCAGGTGTTCCCAAAATGGCCTTAAACTTCACTTCAGATGCCCTGGCCACAATCCATCTAGGTGAGAAGGTAGAAACACAGCGAGGAGGCTGCAGGGCAGGAGGGGACAGGGGTCCACTCTCCCTCCTGCACAGAGCGGCCAGCTCTTCTTCCTGACTTCTCGAGCACTAAGCCTATGCCCAGGGCAGGGCCCTGGAGTCCAGAGGAAACTGAAGGGGAACCCTGGTGCCTTTCCAGGCAGCTTCTGCTTGGCCCCAGTTCCATTCTCCATCCTTCTCCACCCTGCCTTCTGCTCCAGGGGGCTGACCCATGTAGACTGTACCAACGGAGCTTCTGGGCCCTCCAGCTTCCATAGGGTTTAGCCATTGGGAAGCCCTGGCGGGAGATCAGGGGAGGGGGGAGAGCCTGGGCTGGCTGCCTCCCTCCACTGATGTCCCAGCTACTATCAGGATGACCCTGTCTCCTGGGCTCTTGCCTCCAGTCACCACACTTTCCTCCCCTCCTTAGGGCCTTGGTGGATCAGCCCTGGCTGTTACTAACTCTGGGTCCTGCCCTCCTCTTCATGGTTCCCACACCCGCCCACACCTCAAATCATCCTAGTGTAAGTGCCATCTGCCTCCTGCTGGACCCCAACTGACCCACCAGGCAGGATCTCAGCTGCCTGAGAACCAGCCCCCACTCATGGACCAGAGGGGACCTCCTTTACATACGGAAGGGAAACCAGGCCCTGAGAGCAGCAGTGACATGCTTGTGGTCACACCAGGTATCAGAGCAGAGTGTGGCCCAGGCCAGGCTCTCACCAGATCTGACACGCCAAACCGCTTCCCCACACCAGCCTCACACTCTAAACACTAACCTAAATACTAACCTCATGGATCGCTGGGTTCCCACCAGCATTTCTCTACCTTTTATTCATCATCCTTCCCCCTAAGGAGTCTTTTTAAACACTTTTTTTCCTGGTTCCCCCCCATAACATTTTAATACCACATATACAGTAAGCACCTTTTATGTACTGTGCGTATATTGGGCTTTATACAGAAAAGGAGTGAGATTTTTTTCACCACTCTCCTTCCAAGAACCAATTTTTTGCCCTCTTGGGGGCATTCCCCACTGAGAATGCAAGATCTGGACCCATTCCAATATAATCCCCACATGACAACTCGGACAGCTGTGGGGAGCTCCATTTTCCAGATGAGGAAATGGAGGTTCTGAGAGACTTCTAAATTTCCCCCAAGTAGGAAGTAAGAGCATATGCTGAAAGCCCCTTCAACTGTCCCCCCAAACCCACACTTAGGGCCTCAGAGGAGGCTGAGGGTGCCTGGAACATGGGCCGGGGGGAGGAGCCCAAGGCTGGCACTAGAAGACGAGATTCAATCCCGACTCTGCTGTGTGACTCCAGGCCAGCCCCTTTCCGTCTCTGAGCTCATGACTTACCAGCAATCCAGTAGGTCAGGGAGTCAGAGCAGTGACTGACTCTATTCCCCACCACCAAAACAGAAACCAAAACAAAAACACATCCTCTTTATTTTACACGGCAAAGACAACAGAAAGTTAACCCCAAGTCCTAACTCGGCCTCTAGGGATTTAGCCCGTCCTTGACAAAAACACAGTTCCTGTGGCCTTTGATTTACAGTTCATTTTTTCTAATTTTGGGAAGCAGAGAGGCTTGGGTCTCACGCCCCCAGAGGTCTAAGGCAACACAGCTGGTGCAAGCAGAATCCCAGAGAGGTTAGGAGAATCTGCGAACATTGTGTAGCACAAAGGTGGCATCTTTAAGGATAGATCCCAGGAAGGGAGAACCAGCACCTTCTCAAGTCTCCCCTAGACCTTGGAGCACTGGTCCAGGAGTCTTCCCTCAGCTCAGACGCACTATGTGACCTCCACATGACCTCCCAGGCTCCCAATCTGCATAATGAGGCCACAAGACCTGGATCCTGGATCCCCTTTCCACTAGGAGGTCAAAAGAGTCTCCATTTTACCAGGAAGGGCAGGCTGTCTTCCTATTCTAGGAAGCCACCGCCAGAGAAAGGCATTTTAACCTTCATGTGTTTGCAAAAAATAAATAAAATAAAATCGGTTTCATTCAAATGCTGCTGGCTTGGTTGCCATGGATACCACCTAATCATGAAGGATGACTGTTACTTGTTCCCATGGAAACATGGAGGCCTGAGGAACATCCTGTAATTTCAGACAAGACACCAAATTTCAGTTGTCAGGTTGCACTGCCCAGATCTTAATATTTAAAAATGGGTAGAGGCAGCAACCTCTAATACTAGTGTCAGGAGAAAAGAAGTCAGCCCGAGTGTAGGAGGAGGTGCGAGATGGGGGTGTATGTGGGTGCTGGACCTCAACAGTGATCAGGAAAATGCAAATAAAACTACCAGATACCATTTCACACCTATCAGATAGGCAAAAGTAAAAAAGTTGTTGACAGGGATGT